GAAACAGAAGTTCAGTCAGTACACTTTGGGGCTAGTAGAGTACAATGTACTTTACACACTGGCATGGTCTACTCTTCAAAATCTTCTCAAGGATTTGCTACTTTGTCAAAATTGCTCAAACATGATCCTTCTGCTATTATTGTTCATATAAAAAAAAATACTTGACGTTTATCTAGCAACAAATCCAGAGATAAATAAATTACATATAATGAGTGATGGTCCAACGACACAGTAACGCAATGTTTTATCTCATAATTCAGTACTTGCCTCAGTGCTATACTCAATTAGAGGATATTACATATAACTTTAGTGAGGCTGGCCATGGAAAAAGTTCTGCTGATGGTATTGGCGGCTATATAAAGAAATTAGCTGACGATCAAGTGAAATACGGCTTGGATATGACAAATTTTGATTCTTTACTTGCGATTTTGCGAAATCGTGTTAAATCTGTATACATTGATTGCGTTACAGAAGACGACATATCAAACATTGATTCAATATTACCAAGCAATTTTAAGCCTTCCATTGGCACTATGAAAATACATCAATATATGTGGAATAAACTACAACATAATTGTATTTTATTTAATTCATTAAGTTGTTTTGATTGTTCTAAGGTTTGTTCCAACAACGATCTTGGAACAATACATAGACCAGTCCAAAACTTATTGTTGACAATCTGTCGATGACTAGTAATTGACAACTTGTCAGGTACTGGTCGGGGATTGGAATTCAACTCGGAACTCGATTATGTTGGAACACATTTTTTAAATTCAACAGACGCATTATGACAATAATAAACCACAAAATAAAATAAATGATCATGAACAAAAACTGTGAAGACTAAGCTCGATTAACAAATACAAATCAGAACTGTCAGAGATACAAATAATATAATTACAATCACGAAATGTTCAGTTAATTGCGGCTTAGCGCATGTCTTGACAATTCGTTCCTATTCAGACCCAGGAACTGATTTGACAGTACACAAATCGGTTTGTGATTAATTTTGGTTGTGTTGGAACACTATGTTTTTGTACAGTTTCGAGTCTACGGTTTGTTGGAACACAAATTCTAGACTGCGCAGAATCCCGACAGTACACAAACTGATTTGGTTTATGTTGGAACAAACCTCTAATAAAAGTCCATGTATACACTTTGCTATGGGAAAAATTGATTACTCTTTGAATGATACAGCCGGAAAAATGAACAAAAGATTGATAGCAAAAACAAAAAATCGGAAAATTCGTCACCAAAATTAACCAAAAATTTAAGATGCCTTGAAAAAGATGTTGCTAAAGACTATTTTGGAAAAAATTAAACAATATCACTGCGTAGAAGTGCAAGAATTAAAAGAAACTGATGAAAACCAAAAACAATACATTAATTAATTTAATATTAATTAATTAATTTAATATTATTAATTTATTTGATATTTATTAATTTATTTTAACATATTTTAATTTATTTATTTTTAGTTAAATACAATAAGTTAGATTATTATCAATTAGTAGTTGCTATAAATTATAAAGTTAATTGTTATAATTGTTATTATTCATTATTAATGTGTTAAATAATCAATAAAAAAGAATTTAAGAACGTTGTAATAGAACTCATTAATAAATTTAATAATTGTTCTAAAGAATATCTATCAAATTTACTTTATGTCAGTACCGTCGATAAATGAGTCAGTACCGTGGGACGGAAAATTTGAAATTTGTTTTTCATTCTTGACAATTTTAAGTTGTAGTAAAATCCTCTCAGGCTTTTATTTTTAACCGACTTCAAAAAAGGAGGAGGTTATCAATTCGTCGCGATATTTTTTTTTTTTTTTTTTTTTATGTATGTATGTTCAGCGATAATTCTTTAACACGGCGTCCGATTTCAATAATTCTTTTTTTGTTCGAAAGGGGCTACTTCAGGGGTGGTCCCATATAAATTTGGTCAAAATCTAAAAATTGGGTCCATGAGAAAATCCTCAAACTCTTCATTTCTTATGTATGTTTAGCGATAATGCTTTACTACCTTGTCCGATTTATATGATTCTTTTTTTGTTAGAAAGGGGGTACCTCAGGGGTGATCCCATATAAATTTGGTTAAGATGTTGTGATGGCATCTGCACGTTTTTGAAGTCGGTTTTTTTTAATTTACACTTGTAACCGACTTCAAAAAAGGAGGAGGTTATCAATTCGTCGCGATATTTTTTTTTTTTTTTTTTATGTATGTTCAGCGATTATTCTTTAACACGGTGTCCGATTTCAATGATTCTTTTTTTATTAGAAAGGGGGTATTTCAGGGGTGGTCCCATATAAATTTAGTCAAAATCTAATAATTGGGTCCATTAGAAAATCCTCACTCTTCATTTTTTATGTATGTTCAGCGATAATTTTTTAACACGGTGTCCGATTTCAATAATTCTTTTTTTGTTAGAAAGGGGCTACTTTAGGGGTGGTCCCATATAAATTTGGTCAAAATCTAATAATTGGATCCATGAGAAAATCCTCAGTCTTCATTTTTTTATGTATATTTAGCGATAATGCTTTACCACCTTGACCGATTTATACGATTCGTTTTTTGTTAGTAAGGGGGTACCTCAGGGGTGGTCCCATATAAATTTGGTTAAAATGTGGTGGTGGCATCTGCACGTTTTGAAGTCGGTTTTTTTAAATTTTTAATTTGTAATACTTGTAACAGTAAAATAGATGAATATTATATATCAAAAAATTAAAAAAGTTTAATTTAAAAATCTTAAAATTTTTAATCAAAAAATTAACAGTTAGAATAGAATCACCCATTTGTACCTGTTAGGAGATATAAACCATCAGTATACCCTAGATGGTTTTCAGCTAAACTTAAAAAGTTGATTTCTCGCAAGAAGGCAGCTCATGCTGTATTCAAAAGTACTCGCTCAGCTGTTGATTACTTAAATTTTTCTAACCTTCGGTCTCAATGTAAAAATTTATCAAAACTAAATTATGAAAATTATATTTCTGGTATAGATCTGAAGGTTTGTAAAAATACAAAATACTTCTGGAACCACATTAATTCTTTGAAACAAGAATATGGTATTCCCAATAGAATGTATTATAATGGTACAATTGCTAATAATGGGAAAGACATTAGTAATTTGTTTGCTATGCATTTCTCCAGTGTTTTTATAAAAAAGATATTGTAGATGAGCCAAACCTTCATTATAATGCTTTTAACTAGCCTGATATTCCCTTTATACAATTTTACTTAAGTGATGTTTATGATGGTATTAACTCCCTAAAAGATAAATTGAGTTATGGTCCAGATGGAATCCCTGCTTATTTTTTGAAAAATGTAAATTAACTCTTTCCAAACCACTACAGTTTTTATTTAATTCCTCTTTGAAATTACAACAGTTTCCTGCAAAATGGCGTGATAGTTTCATTGCCCCCATATTTAAAAATGGTCAGAAAGATGACATAGTTAACTATCGCCCTGTAGTTTTACTTTCTACAATACCTAAATTATTAGAATTATTGTTATATAAACCTTTGTCATGGCATTGCAAAAACGTTTTAATTGAACAACAGCATGGGTTTATGGGAGGCAAATCTACTAATACAAATTTACTGCTCTACGAACATTATATCATTTCTGCCTTCGAGAGGGGGTGTCAGGTTGACTCAATTTACACTGACTTCTCGAAGGCATTTGACACGGTGAACCATGATTTGCTTTTAAGGAAACTAGTGAAATTCGGGTTTCCAAACTACTTAGTGAAATGGTTAGAAAGTTACCTGCAATCCAGGGTTTAATATGTCAAAGTTAAAAGTTTTACTTCGATTCCAATAAATGTAAGTTCAGGTGTCCCCCAGGGATCTCATTTGGGACCATTACTATTTAATATATTTATTAACGATGTGGCTTCAGGATTTAAAATTTGTAAGTTTCTACTATTCGCAGATGACCTGAAATTATTCATGGAAATCTTAAACTTACCTGACTGTTTGAAGTTACAGGATGATTTAAACTATTTTATTAATTGGGCTTTAAATAATGCCATGTCTTTAAATCCACGTAAATGTTTTTCAGTCACCTTCACAAGATCAAAAAACCCTATAAATTTTCTTTATAATATCAATTCTACTGTTTTGGAGAAAGTTAGTGAAATCAAGGATCTAGGTGTGATCTTCGATAGTTCTTTGACATTTGTCCCACACATGAGATCCATCATTAGTAGAGCTCTGAAAACATTGGGATTTGTGACCAGGAACTCTAGGGAATTCTCTGTGCGTACATTCCGAACCCTTAACTTAACACTAGTGCGCAGCAGCCTCTTATATGCTTCACCAGTCTGATCACCTCATTACCGGACTCATATTTTAAATTTAGAAGCAGTTCAAAATAGGTTTCTAAGAACTTGTCAGTGGAAGTTACATATGCCTTATCTTTCTAAGAGGGAGCTTAATAACCATTTAAACTTATTTTCAGTTGTGAAAACGTTAATTAGTAATAATCTTTTATTTCTTTATAGGAAGGGAATATAGCTTGTCCAGATATGTTAGAGCTAACAAACTTTAGATTAAACATATAAATATTAGAGAGAAACCATTATTTTCAATTAGCTTCCATCATACGAACTACGGACTCAACAGTCCTTTAACCAGATTTTAAAGGCAATGAAATGAAATTAACAGACACACTGATCTTTTGGGAGTTAGTAGGTTTAGGTTTAAAAATCAGCTGAGGGAGTACTTATTGAGTTAGCTTTAGCTCTTAAGTTGTTTTCTCTTTTGTGTGATACTTTAGGTTAGGTTTAAAATGTTTAAAATATCTACTGATAATAATTATTTTGTAAAAGGAAATTTTCCGTAAATAAATAAAATAAAAAATAAAATATTTTGTAAAGCTACTCATTGTGAAGTATTTATGAGTATTTTAACGCAGTACTCTGGCCAGCTCTGTTACTTCTCTGCTTTTAGTTTCATTTAATAATAATAAGTTCTTTGATATGATTATTTTTGTTACAGTCTGATCATGAAAAAGAACACCAGAAACGTATCGAAAAGTTACACACCATTCTTTCAGGCGAAGTGTCCATCGAACTTCATCTTCAATTTCTTATCAGATCTAATCATGCTGATCTCCTTATTTTGAAACAAACAAAAGAAACCGTCCGCGTTAGTATTTGTCATACTGCTACCGTTATAGCTAATGCTTTCATGCACAGCGGTACCACCAGTGATCAATTTTTAAGGTGAGTTTATACATTTGAGTTCGAACTATTTTTTTATCATTCATAACTATTTAGTTATCTATATCCGTTGTTCTAGTTTTCTCTAATTCTGCTCTAGTACTCGAGTTCTAGTTCTCTAGTTTTATTGTTTTCTTATCTTAATTCTAGTTTTATTTTTATATGTCAAGTTTTCTAGTTCAAGTTTTCTAGTTCTAGTTTTCTAGTTCTAGTTTTCTAGTTCTAGTTTTCTAGTTCTAGTTTTCTAGTTCTAGTTTTCTAGTTCTAGTTTTCTAGTTCTAGTTTTCTAGTTCTAGTTTTCTAGTTCTAGTTTTCTAGTTCTAGTTTTCTAGTTCTAGTTCTAGTTTTCTAGTTCTAGTTTTCTAGTTCTAGTTTTCTAGTTCTAGTTTTCTAGTTCTAGTTTTCTAGTTCTAGTTTTCTAGTTTTCTAGTTCTAGTTTTCTAGTTCTAGTTTTCTAGTTCTAGTTTTCTAGTTCTAGTTTTCTAGTTCTAGTTTTCTAGTTCTAGTTTTCTAGTTCTACTTTTCTAGTTCTAGTTTTCTAGTTATAGTTTTCTAGTTCTAGTTTTCTAGTTCTAGTTTTCTAGTTCTAGTTTTCTAGTTCTAGTTTTCTAGTTCTAATTTTCTACAGCTCTAAATCCAGTTTTCTTGTTCTCTACAGCCCTAATTCTAGTTTTCTATGGCCCTAAACTTTACGTTTTCTAGATGTATTCGTTTGTTACAGTTTTCCATTTGTGGTTCTAGTTCTCTATTCCTTTTTTTCTCATGCTGGTTTTTTATTCTAGTTTTCAGATTCTCTAGATTTCTAGTTCTCCAATTCTCATTTTTTAGTTATAGTTTACTAGTTGTAGTTCTAGTTCCAATTATCTAGTTTTAGTTCTCTTATTTTAGTTCTCCTATTCTAGTTATTTAGTTGTGGTTTTCTAGTTTTAATTATGTTGTCTTAGTTTTTTAGTTTTAGTTATCTAGTGGTGGTTCTCTAGTTTTAGTTATCTAGTTCTAATTCTCTCGTTTTAATTCATTAGTTCTAATTATCTTGTTTTAATTTTCTAGTTCAAATTCTCTAGTTTAAATTCTATGGTTAAAATTCTCTAGTTTTAATTTTCTAGTTCAAATTCTCTAGTACTAATTTTCTAGTTCTAATTCTAATTCTCTAATTCTAATTCTCTAGTTCTAATTCGCTAATTCTCTAGTTCTTTTTCTTTAGTTTTAATTCTCTAGTTCTAATTCTTTAGTTCTAATTTTATAATTTTTATTCTCTTATTTTATTTCTATGATGCTAATTCCGATTATTTTTCTTTCAGAGATAACTTAGAATGGTTAGCAAGGGCTACAAATTGGGCCAAACTCACGGCTACGGCTTCCCTTGGCGTAATTCACAGGGGACACGAGCAAGAAGCTTTGACCTTAATGCAGAGCTACTTGCCTAAAGAAGTGGGACCCAGTTCCGGATATTCGGAAGGCGGCGGGCTGTACGCTCTCGGTCTCATACACGCCAACCACGGCGCTAATATCATCGATTACCTACTCGGTCAGCTGAAAGATGCTCAGAACGAAATGGTCAGACACGGTGGTTGTCTGGGTCTCGGTTTGGCCGCCATGGGTACACACAGGCACGACGTTTATGAACAACTAAAATTCAATCTCTATCAAGACGACGCGAATACCGGAGAAGCCGCTGGTATAGCCATGGGTATGGTCATGTTGGGCTCCAATAATTCGGCAACTATAATGGATATGGTGGCGGTAAGTACGAAATATTTGTATTTTTGATTCTCACGTTCCAATATTTCGTCTGACGAATCGCTTGTCCTAGTTCACCATCGCTTTTACAATAAGGAAGTTATATGCTAATGTACTGCATGTATATGTAATTTTATCATTGCAAGTACTTTCAGCGGTCGATTCAATATTAAGGTAGTTCACTCGCGACAGTCGTACATAAAAATAACGCATAATGGTGAATACCAAAAGTTCGAGATTTTCAATGCTAATCAGTTTTATTTTTGTAAAAAACTGTATAAAACCCATGCATATCAACACATCTCCCGTGAAAAGGAAAAACCTAGTAACTAATTTTTGATGATTTTTCAGGAAACGGAAAAGAAGGAAAAATTTTCACCTTTCTGTAAGGTCATTAAATAATTTTTGCTTTTTTTCGGATGGGACAGGTTTTAAAGGTACCTAAGCCCTTATTACTGTGTTTTCTTTTTAACTTGACTTTTGTTAGTTTTATGTTACCTACTATTTTTTTATTACAAATAAGTATTTATTTTACTGTGGAAAAAGCTAGTATCCTTGCTTATTAAATAAATATACAAGATTTTTGCCAAGGAAAAAGCTAGTATTGGCCATTGCTGTAAAATTTGTTTCGACTTTTGGTTTATATAACTAGGTAAAACATAGCAAATTACAATTTGTTTTTTTTTTTTTTAAATAAAGAGTAGACAGATTTGTAGTGGTTAGAAAATGTAATTATAAATAGTAAATATATAAGTAAGAAAATATTAAGAAAATACATAAAACATTAAAAGTTAAATTGGATGTTTCCGAAACACGTAATTTTTCCCAAAACAGCCTTTTTTGAGTTGGCATTGACGGAACAAGATCCTAAATAATTTTTTCAATTTTTTTAGGATTTATACCTCTATCTTGAATTTTGCTCTCAGGCATCTCAAGGTCAAATTTTGGTTTAAAAAAATCTGTAGTAATAAATTCTTTATCGTTGTGATTTTTCTTGAAAAACATTTGCCTTGAGCCTTTTCTAAACTGCACTACTTTAAGTACATTAAGTTTTGGCAAAGTTTCATCGTTCTTTTTTCTTTGTCTTGCGCCGTCTTTAAAAATCATCATGTTTCATTATTAGTGTTTTATTTTTTCGGGACGTTTTCAATATTAGTTCATTTAGTTCGTTCATGTCATATATGTTGCTTTTCTTTTTCCACGACTTGCCAATGTTTCCATGGACACTGTCGGCCCTCATATAGGAGTGTCCGGGCTCAAAATATTTTAATGTGATACTTTGAGGACCCCAATTAGAATTAGCAATTACTACAAATGATGTAAATAGTTTCCAATTTTTATTTTGGCCAATACAGTTGTCGCACCAAAATTCGTAGTGTTCCACTTCTACTGAGGCTCGTTGAATAATCGCGCAATAAGCTGATGCTACATCTTCCGCTGTGCGACCACTTATGGCTTCATGCCATAAAATGCAAATATTTTCTTCATCTTTGGTTAAAGACGCAAATGTTTCATTGAAAACAACTAACTTGCTTACAAAAACTGAAGATTTTAGTGACAACTTTGGAAGCAGCAACACTTTTTGCATATCAGCGCAATAAACTTTAATTGAGTTAGGATAGTCTTGGTGTCTATTAAAAGAAGCAGATTGGTCGCAAGCTTCTAGAACAGCACACACTTTTTTATGTTCTTTATACTTACCACAAATGTCACATTCATCTTGATTTGGTTGATCAAATCCAATGTTTGTAATGTGATGTTATTAGTTTATCAATTTTTATAGTGTTTTAAGCTCTACGATTTGGCAAGTGGGTCAGGTTATTAAATAACTCATATGACTTTGAAAGAGAATATTGGACGCCACTATATTTAAGACTTTCTAAACTTGACAATCGATCAGCGATGAAAATATAGAAAACCACTGATCTTTATGACATTATAATTAAATAAGGTAGCGACAAATTCTAATTCACAGAGACTTAATTATTCGAATTTAACTGATTTATTTTAACTTATCTGAGGTATACAGGAAACGAAAATAGTCAAGGAGTGACTGTAGAGGCCTTCTTGTGCGAATTTACAAGGTAGTGTTCTCTCGGTGGTTGAACTTCTTGATGTATTCTACGTTCTTCCGAATTTCTTAACCAGCAGCGGGTACGTTCTTCTAAAATTCATGCAGACACAGCTACCATTGAATCCTCGATATAGTTATAGTTTCTACCGAACCATCTAAATCCATTTCCTTCAGATTTCGTTAAAACTTCTTTAAGACATAAGACTTCTTAAGACATAAGATTTTCAGACCATCTATATACAGCAAGACTTATTTAAATCAGATGGTCATTAAAATAATTTAAGGTAACTAGTAAATCGGATGTCCCAGATAATAGATAAATAAAAATTAATCATTCAACCTGCTCGAAGACAGACGTAAATCGAAGTGACAACCGAGTTTTGACACTAGACATAAACGACAAATGACGTTTGTGTAGAGATGTTGGTTTCAAAATAACGATAACGGGTCTGGGTCAAATAACGAAAACGGATTTAACCGTTACATGTTGAGTAAACTAAATTCAGTTCTGTATCGGTCATATGATATTTTTTCATAAATTTCACAATAATTTTTCCACATATCGGTAATAGATAAATCTGGGGGTAAATATCTTCTTTTAGGAGCATGTTTCAGTTTATAGTGTGATATTTGTGGGTTATATGACTATATGATTTCTAATAGGAGTAGGATCCTTTTTGTTAGGTGGAACAGACATTCCCCTTTTGTCTTTAACTAGTTCCAATCCTATAGATTGTTCATGTCTGTTTTTGAACTCCGTTATCATACCATCGGTTTTCAAACCATGTGTTTTTAGAAACATTTGCACACGTCTTTTTCAAAACCATCCTCCTTAATTAATGAGTAAATAAGGACGTATTGACGCTTATTGTTACTATCTACTTCTCTTCTTTTGACGCCCCCAATTTTTATCCTTGCAATAAGATATTGCCGCCTCTCGCCAAAGCTCATTCTCCAGAAAGACTGACAAATATCTTGTCTTCTTTCTTCGGAAAAATAATCTCCGCATTTTGATTTACAATTACATGGTTTTAACAATTGATATTTTTCTAAATGTCTATCTATTTGCTCTTTTTCTGTTCTTGCTCTTTTTTTTTCCTTTTTTCTTATTATTTTTGTCTTTTTCATCATTTGCATGCACTTCTGTAACAAATAACATAAATTAATGTATATACAACCTGCGATGAAAGTATCAGCATTTTTATACATTTTTCAACACTGGTGTTTAATTCATTACTCATTAAATCTGTATCGTCATTTTGTCCGTTGTCATTTTCTACGATGTCTTTTGTATCTAACAAAATTATTTCTGATATATAACAATTTAAAAGATTTTAAATAATACGAATTACATATTTGGAAAATCTTTGCAATTCTTTTTAACCGACTTCAAAAAAGGAGGAGGTTATCAATTCGTCGCGATATTTTTTTTTTATGTATGTTCAGCGATTATTCTTTAACACGGTGTCCGATTTCAATGATTCTTTTTTTGTTAGAAAGGGGGTACTTCAGGGGTGGTCCCATATAAATTTAGTCAAAATCTAGTAATTGGGTCCATGATAAAATCCTCAAACTCTTCATTTTTTGTGTATGTTTTGCGATAATGCTTTAACGCGATGTCCGATTTCAATGATTCTTTTTTTGTTAGAAAGGAGGTACTTTAGGGGTGGTCTCATATAAATTTGGTCAAAATATGATGATGGGGTCCATGAGAAAATCCTCAAACTCTTCATTTTTTATGTATGTTTAGCGATAATGCTTTACCACCTTGTCCGATTTATATGATTCTTTTTTGTTAGTAAGTTTGGTTAAGATGTGATGATGGCATCTGCACGTTTTTGAAGTCGGTTTTTTTTAATTTTTAATTTCTATACTTGTTCTTTTATCTGGACGTATATCTTCAGGATCTTGTGGGTCATAACTAGGGTCTAAATCTGAATCATCCTCCAATATGTCATCTAAAAAACATAAATTTCAGTTTTTGTTTGTAACAAAATTTTTGTTACCAACCTTCATATTGGTGAAAATCATCTGTATTATCATTCTGAGGTGTTGACTGTTCTTTGGAATAAGTTTTAGTCAAATTCGTTTCATTTAAGCTAAAAGTGATTTAATAAGAAATGTTATAAAAAAAAGAAAATAATATTACCTCTTGTTAGTACAAACAGTTTGACTTTCTTGTCTTACATAATCGTTTTTAGTCGAGGATGGTGATTGCAACTCTGTGAACAATAATTCTCGGCGACCATATTCCACTTCATTAATTGGGGATAGGGGTTTCATTTCGAAATAAACTTTTGCACTAACTTTCTTTGTTTCATCAGTAATTTTGCTTACAGAATATGGTTGCATTTCAAATAAATCTTTTTCTTTGGCACAGATGTTATTATAATCACTAAAAATAAATAATATATACCAATCACAAATGCAATTAGTAAACATTGAAAGACTTACTAATTTTGGTTTTCAAAGATCTCTACGTGTTGTTCCAAAGTACTGCATTTTGAGTTACTCTGATCTGGGACAGAATTATTACTATGTAATGTAAATTCACTAAAAAATATGAGAATATACAATCAGGAATCTAATCAATATAATTCTACATATTTACTTTATATTTTTAAAGGTATGTGTCTCTTGTTGATCCAACGAATCATCTTCAAAGCTATCCTGTGCCAATTCAGAACAATTTTGACCAAAGGATGTGAGTTCACTATAACTACATAAAAGCAAATTTTGTATAATTAGCTAGGAAATTAAATTGAGTTTATGGCATGTAATATTTTGTCAAATGCTTACATTCGTTTTTGTGTACAAAAAAATATGTAAGTTAAATATCACAGCATAACTAAACGAGTTAAATTATTAAATTATTAGAACGTTCTAGTACATAAAACTAAGTACTTACTGATTTTTAAGATCGCCTGCCTCTTGAACGCAAACTACTTTATGTTGTGTAGCCAAAGCTATTATAATTTTTTTCCTCTCGGACATTTTTGCACCAGTTTTTAACCTAAGTTTTGCGAAAGAACACTCGAGAAGATCCTTACTAAGAGAGACTTCGTTTGAGACTGAATACTTTGAACTGTCCGCTGGAAGAAGGTAGCAAATTATTATGAGTTTTCGCGCCTAAAGCAGCTTTAAATTGGAAAAAGCTAGCAAAGAGTCTTGGAATTGAGTGGGTCAGCTAAAAGACGATGTAATAAAAGTGGAAATACCTAGTAAATTACTTTGCTAGCTTTCTGTTACGAAACATTGTATTTTTATTTTAGGGTGTAAAAATAGCAAAATATGATAAAAGGAACTTCCAATTTGAAAAAAAAAAATAAATTTATATAAATCGTTTACAGAAAAGACCAAGTACGAAACTTTATAAAGTTTTTCCTACAAAAGTTAACAAAAATGTACTAACAAAAAAAAGTTTTATCCATAAAAATACCGGGTTGCTAGGTTTTTCCAATGAAAAATATTTAAATTTGCGTTTTACTAGGTTTTTCTATGTAAAATAAATCCGTGAAATAAGCAAATTTTGAAAAAATTTGAATACCGATCGAAAGAGGGCATCAAGGGCTATCACAAAATTGATGCTAAGCATAAACCTAGTAAGTCACTTTACTAGGTTTATCTTTTTCACGGGAGACATATGGACTATGTTTAAATTTTAATAAAATGTATCTAGCAACCTCGCAAATATATGAACGGTATGCTATAGAAATTTGTGACTTCTTCATACTAATTTTGGATCGAAGAGAATCGCTGATTCCAGATCTTAAAACACAGTGGACGAATTAATTTTTCAAGAACACGTCGCGAGGTTATAACAACCTCTTAGCTGATCGAGTGTTATTTTGTTACGAGATTACAATGATGCCAAGTTGTAATAATTTTACGCAACTACGTGTCAACTGCTTTAAAAATATTTTTATTTTAAAAATCTATATCTTTTTAATAAGACGGTCAAAAAATTCAGTGATTTTTTAGAAAATTTTATAACTTCTTGATTTACATTACATTAGTTTTTAAAAAACATGGTAAGAACCGTGTTCGAGATATATTGAAATAAATGCATTGCTTGTGTACATGACAGGCTTCAAGAGTGTTAATTATGCACATTTTGATTGTTAATATCTTGTTTCACAGATGGTCAAAAAATTTAATTTTTTTTTTTAGTTGTGTAAATGACACTTTTTTTTTAAGAAGAAGAATAAACATTTTATAATACAAAATCAAATAAATTTACAATGAGAAATTATTCTTAAAATATGCACCTAGATGCAAAAACATCTGTATGTACAACAGAAATAGATTAAAACTACATAAAATTAACAATACCTATAAACTAAACATTTGATGATTGAAGGGACATACATATATAAGACTGGGTATTTATAACAAATTTGAGAGGTATACATATTTATCAAATATAAATTTTCTGATCGCTTTAGAAAAGGTTTTCGTTTTTTATGTCTGATATTATCACTTAAAGAGTTGTATACCTTTGGCCCAATTGAAGAAATGAATCTTTTATTTCCATCATATTTAAAGAATGGTATATTTAGCATTCTTCTCTTTTGTTTTCGGCTCATATAAGAGTGGTTTACAAAATTTTTAATTTTTCAGTTTGAAATACAGCTAGAGTGAAAGTATAGTGATCTTACGTTTGGAGTGGATTCGTTTTATAAGAGGATTGTTGAAACAAACGACTTTTATGATTTATTATCTTTAAGATATAATTTTGAATGATACTTGAAGGATGTAGGGCATTGTCATATAAACCACCCCATACAATTATGCCATATCTAATTAAGGATTCAATGAGAGAAATATATATCAAGTGTAATAACTTTTTATTTAGAATGTTAAGTACTGAATATGATCAGTCCATTTAAGATTTTTGTCAACTATTATTCCCAAATATTTGGCATTTTCCACTTCTTTGATGATGAATTTGGATTCTTCAATACAAATCTGTTTGAAGTTAGGCCTGTTAGCATCTGTGAGTGAGAATGCCATATATACAGAGAAATTGCGGAAAAGTTTCGTCTTTAGAGTAGAACAAACTTAAGTTTGGGACAGCAAATGTTGGTTGCATACTAATCTGCGCATATAGGCGGGCTTTGTTTGTCAGTGGCGGGGGACTAAAATAAATGGAAAAATAGAAATACTTTTTTATGCATGTAATTATCAAAATTCGAAAGGTAATTAATTTGCTTTGTACAATAGGTACGTAAGTTGTTATGCTTTTTTAATTTAGAATACACATGCAGGTTACTAAATGTACTTAATTGTATCCACTAAACAACCTAACTTACGCAGCGTATATTTTAAATTATTGTTTGTTATAAAATGTAGTTTTGGAAAACTTGTTAACTGCAATAAAGTACATGTATACAGTGCGTCCATAAAGTAACGCATAAATTCATTATTGGCTAAATGAACAATAAAATTAGGAATTCCCAAAACAGGTCGATTTTTGATTTCAATTTACTATTGTTTCAAATCATAATCTAATATACAGGGTGAACCACTTTCGTGTAATGACGTCATCACCATTTTTTTCAAATGGAACCCCCCCTTTTTTTTCAATTTCCAAATTGCCTTTGCTGAGCTGATTCCAAAAATGTATAATATGTTGCTTCAAATTGGTACAGGGTGGGCAAAAATGCAAAAAAAATATGAAAATTGTTTATGGAAAGTAATACGTTACTGAATGTAATAAACAAATTAAATGGAATTATGTAGTTATGCAATTAATGTGATACACTTCCAAAAACAAACAAACGAACGAAAATTTACAATAAATGTTCAAATTGTTCTCCATTGACCGTTAGACAATGACTGAACCGGGCATTACTTTCGTCTCTAACATTCTGTAGCATAGCGGGTGTTATGCTCTGTATTTCTTGTCTGATTCGGTCTTGTAGTTGAGGGATATTTCCAGGTCTGTTGAAGTAGACTTTAGATTTTAAATAACCCCATAAAAAGAAGTCTAATGGGTTCAGATCAGGTGATCTAGCAGGCCATTCCACTGGTCCCCTTCTTCCTATCCACCTTTGTGGAAAAGTTGTGTTTAAAAAATTGCGCACAGCTACTGCGTAATGTGGCGGTGCGCCATCCTGTTGAAACCAGATTCTGCGGTCTACATTAGTGGGTATTTGAATATCAGGAAAAAGCTGGATCAGATCAGGAATTAATGTATTTTGTAGGAAATCCAGATATAATGCTCCTGTTAAGTTTTCATCGAAAAAATATGGACCAATAATTGTATTTCTCACAATACCAGCCCATACGTTAGTTTTTTGTGGTCTTTGCGTATGGTACTCTTGCATCCAGTGTGGATTTTCATCAGACCAATAACGGGTGTTTTGCCGGTTAACATGACCGTTCAAATAAAACGTTGCCTCGTCCGAAAATAAAACGTTATCAATGAAATTGTTATTTTGGTTCATCATATACTCGCAGAATTCAGTTCTTCGGTCAAAGTCATCTTCAGCCAATTCATGTATGAGACGTACTTTATAAGGATGGTATTTTACCTTTTTGAAAATGTTTGATACTGAAGACTTTCCAATACCAAAATCCCTAGATAATCCTCGCACTGTACAGTGTGGATTTGCTACAGCCGACAAAATTATGTCTTGTTGAATATTTTCATCAATTTTTGGTCTACCTTGCCTTGCTGCATCCCTCACATGTCCTAATTCTCTGTATTTTCGCTCTATTCTACTTACCGTAGATTGTGAAATAGGTTCACGATCTGGGTGCATTTCATGGAATAATCGGCATACCTCTTGTTGAGTCCGTATCTTATCGCCAATACCAATCATCATTAATATTTCAATCCTGTCACTTTCGGTTAAAGGCATTTTGTAAAAAAAGTTCACGAACGTACCTTCTCTACAGCGTTAACAATACGAAACTGTGCTTCAATGTTTTTGACAGTGTTGTCAAATAAAAAAAACTGGTATGTCAAATAAAAAAAACTGGTAAAAGATAATGCCAAACAAAAAGATTTTTATAGTCCAGGGGCTTGGATCACTAATAAAAGCTGTAAGATACAATTATTAAGAATAATGCTGTATGTTCTTGATAGTTTATCAAAATAGTTGTAATAACAATACGTAATTTCATTTAATGTGTTTATTACGTTTATTCGTTATTTTCATTACTTTGTAAGTAAATTTTTGCATTTTTGCCCACCCTGTACCAATTTGAAGCAACATATTATACATTTTTGGAATCAGCTCAGCAAAGGCAATTTGGAAATTGAAAAAAAAGGGGGGTTCCATTTGAAAAAAATGGTGATGACGTCATTACACGAAAGTGGTTAGATTATGATTTGAAACAATAGTAAATTGAAATCAAAAATCGACCTGTTTTGGGAATTCCTAATTTTATTGTTCATTTAGCCAATAATGAATTTATGCGTTACTTTATGGACGCACTGTATACCTACGAAGCAATAGGTACTTTATAAAAAATTAGCATAAGCAAGTTTTTAAAATAAAAGGATAATTTTTAAAAATTGTTGGTTTATTACTTTTACTAGATACTTAAATTAACGTAATTTTTTTCTTTATAGACATTTAATACATAAGAGGAGAAAGGTACTAATTAGAAATAATAAAAATCTACACTACGATGCCTCATCGGACGATTCTGAATCTAAGAATTCTATTACTAAACTATCAGAACTCTCATCATCTTCAGTAAAGCTTTCCTCTGATGAACCAGTGGTGACAGTAAATTTCAAGGTATCCATGGCTGCGTCCAATAAGTGCTCCTTTTCGATTTGAGCATCTTCATACTTCTTGACATGGCTACATATGTTAGCCCACTCCTTTATGGATACATCAGCAAATTTCGTTCGTGCTAAACTTACTACATCGTTTAACACGAAAGTTGTATTGTGAGATGCCACCCAATTTTTAACCAATGCCCATATTTTTTCAATAGGGTTAACTTCTGGATGATATGGTGGCAAGCGAAGAACT